ACTCCTGGACATAGACAGCACATCACAATGCTGCATTATGTTGGAAGTCAGCCTTTTTGGATGCAAGAGCATTTGGAGGAAGCTTGAGATGCTTTTCATTCCTTTGGGCTGGGAAAACCTTAGCCTGACATTTAAGCTCTTTTTGCATCTGATATAAAAGAAATATATCTGAAGTCTTACCTCTAACTTCAGTGAAAATTGACATTTTAACCTGTAATGCAAACATGAAAGAACATCTTTTTAAACACAGGTAGATGGGTTCAAGTATTAAGTCAGTAGCATTAAATATTCAGATGTACAGTTTTTTAGTAACAGTCTGGGACTGATGAAACTGAACACCTTCATGCATACACTTTTGTAGAAAAGTTGACTGTCAATCTAGCAATTTCTGATGCAAGATAAACCCTGATATTGACATAATGGAAGTGGAAATACAAACCTTTTGTATGCTTTTCAAAAATTTTACAACTTTGTAGTTTCATACAAACTTGTGATGACTTTTTTTTTTCCTCTTCCAGTATTTTTTTTACTTTGTAGATTTACATCAAAAGTAAAAGTTTGGTTTAATCACATCTTGAATGAGGTTGCTCTTATGTTTTGTCTTTGGCTAGAGAGGGACTTGAAACCCAGGTGTTTTCTTGAGCTCTGGAATGGACTCAAGAATGTAACAAACTGAAGGAAACAAGTAAGATATACTCCTCGACTGAATGGATTAGCTGGCTAGCAGGTGTTCAGTCACAGTAGTGTATGTAGGTGGCTATCATCAAGAAAGGTATTTGGCCTTATTAAGTTGAGTGGTTTGGAATTTTAGGTTCTGAGTTTCTTTATAATTGAAGAACAAGATGTGCTTGTAGTTGGAGCATGAGTTAATACCTATATGTCTCCCAGTTTTCCAAGTATGTGTTTTTAACTTCCACAGAGTTTAAATTTCTAATTCTATGCTGAATTCTACTGATATTTATATATTAACAAATTAATTTTACATGCCTCTGATCATGTGTTAGGTAGGCAACTTGTAAGAGGAAAAAAGCTGTCATTATAGAAGAGGAAGTGACTTCCTAGATAATGTTTTTAGACAGACTTTGAACTATGACTTCCTCTGAAAGTCTGTGCTGGTAACTGCATAGGTATCTGTGAGGGCTGAATTTTGTACAAGGAAGATTCCTACAGCAGTAACTCTTTTGCTAGATTGACTTGAAACTAATGTGTTTTGTTATGTCTACTACAGCTCTATTTCCAAAAGTGAGTTTTCTTCAAACTACTGTTGAGTGAAGACAGTTCTGTAACAGATGTTTTTAGGTCTAATGGAAATGTTTTCCAATGTGGCTATCAGTGTATTTATTGCCAGTCACAAACTGTAAGCTGATCTTTATAGGTGGAGGAAGTAGATAAAGTATTTTTTCCTTCTACTACTTAAGTTTTTGTATTTACTTTAAACCAGAATTTAGAGGAAATTGATTTGAGCAGGCCGTTCAATTCTAGGGGAATGTGATACTGAGGGGGCTTTTTGAATAAGCTGTCACTATCTGTACACTTCACCTTTTAAGTGTGCTGCAGATTGAATTATTTACACTATCTGCTTGAGTTACCAGGATTGCAGACCAGAAGGAGAAAAATCAAAGTAGCCAAGTATTCTTTCAAGACTTAATAAATTCAGGAGCTGTCAAAATAAAGCTCTTAATGTCTAAAATAATTTGCAGAACTGGCCTAAAGGTAAAGATGCAAAAGACTAATCTTTCTTTAGAAAGTTGGTTGCACAGAGACTAGAGTGTTTTAGTTATTCCTAATCCACCTCTAACCAGTTAAGGAGAGGTACATAAACCATGTCTAGTACACTAGTCATGATGCTGTGAAGATTAAAAAAACCTAACACAATACTGCCATTAACACTTATTTATGACTTCCTAGGACTTCACCACTGTGTTAGATCAGAGGTTTAGGTATTGAAAGTATCCTTGAATACCTGCACGGACAAATTTACAACAGAAACCCTGTTCCCTACTTACTTACGCCCATTTGTGTGCTGTAAAGTTTTAATGGAGACTGATAAGTCTGATCAGAGAGTGTATACCTCTTCAAGATGCCTGTCATTCCTTATTACAAATGTTGAGACTAAAAGGCAATGCTTTCAGGTCCTACAGACCTGAAGTATCATCTATTTTAAGGCTTAGTAAGATTTCAGAGTCAAATTCCTAACTAACTTAGCAAAATGGAAACCTGACCTACTCATGAGTGGCCTCTACTGGTTTTGTCTATATTTAATTGCACTTCTGTTGAAGCATTTACTGGTGAATGCTTGATTTAAGTAACTAGGATGATTTAGAGATCTATAATAGATAAAAGAGCAAGCAGCTACCTTTTTTTATTAAAGAATTGTAGGATCCTTTTTAAGGATCATTTATTACAAAGGATTGCAGTATGGACAACTTACCTGGTAGACACTGTTCTGTGACAGGACTGAATATTGCTTTAACACAAATTTAATCTGCCTAGACTGGCAGTGAACTCTGTACCTCTTCTACCTGCTGAATCAAATTCATGGTCTTTTCATTTAGTGCTAGTCCACACTGTGTTCTGCTAACCTAGACCTGTCATTGCATTTTTTTAAAAAACAGAAAGTGGTGTTTATACATTATGTAATAAAAATCAAAAACTTAATAGGTACATGAAAGTGTCCTGTGCCTTATTTCAACTTCCAAAAGTGTTTCATGTGCTTAGCTTCTCACTTACTGTGCAGTTTGTTTTAAATAAGTAACTGTTTCTAAGCCTTCGTGCTTCAGGTAAAATGCAGATACTTAATCTATGTAGCAGTTTTTAGTATGGATTGCTTGGTACTACTAAATAGCTTTTTTTCTATTAGAAAAACATCAGTAGTGCATCTTACCCACAGGACTTCAATTATGTGTCTCCTACTGCTGCCATCATAACCAATAGATCTGCAATAGAAGTGTTTATCCTCTTCCAATACTGAACCTGGTACTTAAAGAAACAAGTTCAGGACTATTCCTTCTAGCTAAAGCCATACCACACAAGGTTTTAAAGCACAGTTTATTAAATTCTAAATGTATTTACAATAAGACCCTCTTCTCTAAACCACAGTTGTTTAGACACTGCTTGGACAAATTTATCTTTTTTTTTGAACCCATGACACAAAGTTGGTGGCAAGTCAGGGAAAGTGTTCTCCCATCCATCAGTCATTTTGTACAATACAGCAATTCCTTACATCTTTATTAAATGCAAGAGAAGTTACATGGGGTTACATTGTACATAGGGAGAAGAAGAATTTACAATAGTGCTATGCTTCAAAGATTTACTTTAATTTAAGGCATAAACCTAAGGCTGCAAACTGAAGCAGTAGAATATCCCATATCCTCCAACCTCCCATCACTTCTCTACTCCAGCTTTCACAACTCCTTTCCATTAACTCCTTTGTAAGGGGCACAAGCCTATTAAGTAACCCAAGTGTTACTTACACTGTTAAATTTTTTAAAAAACCCAGCTTAGAACAGATCAATAAGACAATGCTGTATTCACTATACTATAGAAAGCAAATTCTAGTACTCATTTGTTCTGTGCCAGGTATTTATTCCTAAACTCTTTTCTTCAGATTGAGACAGGAAACACTACACCTATGCAACAGCCCTACAGTAATGCTTTTTGGCTAGCCTTAAACATCCATGAATAAATTCACCAGCTGCTTCCTTACTGCATTCATGGGAACAACAGCAACATATTCATGCCTTGCACAGGGTGCAAGTCTTGCCCTAGGACATCTCAACTAACACTTACACCTGCTTGAACTTAACGCATGAGGACCCTCATGATGGACCCAGATAGATAAAAGTTTAAATTAAAGTCATTACTTGTCCCTATCCTTAGTGTGGTTTTTGCAGGACTTCAAAAAAATGAACACTAGACAGTAGTGGTTAGTGTTACAGGTAGAAGTGAAGTGGTGCTATGAACACAGGCTACTATAAGAGAAATTCAGGTCTCTTACATAGCACCAAAGCATCTCTTCCTTTCACCACTCTTATGCTGCAGTCCTAGGTTTTGGTCTGAAATCTAAAACCATTTCAGCCCTCCTCCTGCAAGATTTCTGCAAATTTATCAGTTGCAGTTGAAAGACCTTCCACTTTAAAGGATGTAAGAGAACATTTTTGAGAAGTTTTATCTGAGATCAAGCTCACAGAAAATACATTAGAATTCTGTAATATTTAACCAGAAAACCTAGCAGCAGGACATGAAACAATTGATCTACTTTTACAGATGCTTATTCTGAATGGGCTTTTCATCCTCTATTTTGCTAACAATGATAAACTATTAAAAACATGTTACCTTTGTGGCCTGCTAAAGAAAAACTTCACTGTAGCTCCATTATACTGCTGCTTAACTTGTACAGCATTGAGCTGTCTCTTGGCTGATTTTGTGTAGACATCTCTTCCCCCATTTACTGTTTTCAGGTTTGGTGAATTCAGACTCAGTCCTCAGTCCCTCTCAAACAGTAGGTAGCTTCACATCCTACTGTAACCTTGTTCAATTAAGGATTTGAATAGGTTTAACACCGTTACTCATTTTGAGTTCTGCAAACTCAAAGACAATTCCTTAATAAGCCTTAAGATATCTAGCATCTCTGCAAACTGTTTTATGAGTTCTAGAGCTGGAATAGTTAACCAGAAACAACCTTTAGAACACCTTAGAGCAACAAAAGCTGCATAAGAACCTGCAACAGTTGCCAGAGGCTGTCATTGTTGAATTACAATGATTGTTTTCTATTCATGCATATTTTTCAAAAACCTTTCCTGTAAAAAAGACGACATAATGAAAAATGGTACAGTTGCTCATAGATCATCATATTTCTAAAGGCTTGAAGTAAAAAAGTAAAAATATTTATGAAACTACATTAAGGCATAAGACCAAGTTAGAATGCTTTTTACAGTAACAGTACTATGATTAAAGGTGCTCCAGCATTCTTGCTTCTTAAGGAGCTTCACTACACACAGTGTGTCCATCACATCAAGTGCATGTTCATAAGTCACTATGATTTCTCAGCGTCAATCTGCATTTGATGCCCCAGATCTCATTGTTCTTTCTACTGTCAATAGTTGGCCTCGCAATACTTGTAAAGTGTGAACAATTAATGTTTATGACAGGAAGCGTGTCCTTGAGGAGCTCTAGGGAGCTATCGGTCACTATTCCAAATACCTGAAGAGTCTTTAATGTTGGAATTTCACCAAGTGCTCTAGAAAGAGAAAGATACGAAATTAATCATGAACCGGAAAGCTGGTTTGTTTTTTTTTTTTCCTGTCTGTACCCAAACTAGATAACAGCATTTCTAATACTTTTTTAGAAGTAAGGTAACTACTTAAACTAAATTCCCCTTCCTACTTTTTAAAAGCATATATTTACTTGAAACTAGTTCTCTGTACTGATAATTCAGGAAACCAGCTGAATAAATTGCTTTTTGCTGTTGTCTCTCTCTTCTATCTCACAGAGTGAAAACAAACTGGGTCCTCCCATTTCACTTCCCTGGATTTAAATACAAGTGGAAGGAGTTGCCCCAGATTAAGTTTCATGATGTGGCTCAGCGGACACAAGCCCTTAGGTACTATCAGTCTTCAATTGGTTACATACTTTGGTGAGCAGCCAGCTCTGACTTCTTGATTGCTTCATATTGGCCCAGTCATCATGTGAACTGTGTATCTATAAGCCAGTATTGGGCAAAATCAAGAGGCAGAAACACACAAGCTATCATCATGACAGCACACATTGCTACAGAAAAGCTTCTTCAGATTCCTGTTTTGATAGTCCTGTTCCTCTCACAACCTTTTTCTTGTTTATTATTTCCTTACAACTGACATCCTTCCTGGGAGGATTAAGACAGATAGCTACTGTACTAATAAAAGGCAGAAAAAATCCACACGCAATAAGTCTAAGCTGTGTTTCAGTGGCAACCAACAAGTGATACAGGTGCACACAAAAGCAAAGGAATATGAACAGATTAACTAGTCAGCAAGTACTGTCAACTCTGTTAACTTTTCCAAAAGACTATACCTTCCTTGTTGAGTAATTGAAAACCTAATATTGACACCAATACTGGTCATTGGCAGGACTGGAACCCCCACCTGTACTTCACAGTGATGAGTACCAGTGGTATAATGCCATTAAGGGAAGACATGATGCATGCACTGAGCAGCAAGTTCCATGAATACAGCCTGACATCAAGGAAGGATCATCTCAGGTAACTTTGATTCCAACTTGGATTCTCTAACCTGACTGCTAGGGCATGTACCCTTTTTTATCTCAGTTCCTTATTCCTAATTCCTTATACCAGTAAGTTTTTCAAAACAGTACTTGCAATTCTAAACCTAAAATAAAGCAAGTTTAAATTACCTTATCCTCTATGAATAGCAAATAAAGCCATTTAAAGATTACTTACACTAAGGCAGCAGGTGATATCTGATAACATCGGCTAAGACACAGATGTTGTAGAAAGAGGAGTTTATGAAAATACTGGAAGCACTCAGGCTTCAACATCATGCTGTCACTGTACATGAGAGCACATGAAATAGAGATTTAGGTATAAAGCTGCAGTAAATTTTGTATTTCCAAAATTCAGGCTGATAAATTTAATGAATATCACTTTTTTCTACCACTGAAGTATTTTTTTTTTACTCAATATGGAGGTAAGCCATTTCTAGTGTGTTGTAGAGGCGCGATTTTGTTTGTCACTGAAGGGCAAGTAAAGCAGAAGCTTCTTTGCAGGTAGATATTCTGCAGCAAAACTCATGCCATGAAATGACAATTACTTTACACACTGATATTTAAAAATATTTTAATTGACTAGGTCAAAACCAAAATACGCTTTTTTTTTTTTAACAGTTCTATAACCAAACAACAAGTTTATATCAGAGCTGAACTAAACCCTCTCTAGGATGCTAGAGATGCTCATAAACTGTATGCATCGAAGTGCTTCCTTCCACTCTATCAGTTGACTACAATCACTTGTTAATTAGCAAATCCTATATGTATGTAACATTTATGCTGAGATAACAAAGAAATCTTCAAGTTAGTTACCTGCACCAGATTAGGTCATGCCAGAAAGCAAATCTTTTGTAGGTTTAGCACAGAAAGTATTTTCTGGTTGTACCATCCTACACAATCATGCATTATTGCTATATAATTACTGCACCACAATAGAATTGCCAATCCCCTGAACCAACAGGACTTAAGGACTAGCTGCACAGGCCTTCTTACCTTAGATCTAAATGGACAAGAAGAGGACATCTTTCCACCAGTGTTTTAACATCTGAAAAGAAATCACACATAGTCAGTCCCTCTTTCAGTAAGACAATGAACTTGCTTTATAGAGCCTACTCACTTCCCTACATGTTCATTTGTACCTTCTCTACTGGAACCCCACAACTGAAACACAACTTTTTGTTAAAAAGACATATGCTTAAGACTTACAGCATATAGTCTGCCTGTCAAGATACTTTACAGGTACTTTTTTTAATTCTCAACAAAACAGATCCATTTAGTCCAAAGAAGTGTCCCTAAAAGTCAACTGCGCCAGTAACTCAACAAGTGAGGAATTCAAATGATATTGCTGTAGAAATCTACCGAGACACAGTAATGGTGAGATGCCTGAAATTCTTACACGTAGTGGAAAAACACTAAAAGTTTTCTACACATTAAATACCCTTTCACAGCATCAAGTTCTTTAGGCCTCTCCATTTTTACCCACAGAATGTTCTTTCCTCATGACAGGAAACTACGGCTTTCCTGATTTAAACTGTAAATTCTTATGACCATTTTTGCATTATCTGCAAAGAGCATAGACTCACCTGTGGCTCAGATACCACGTAAAAGGCTACTATTTATTAGCAAGGTGCTAATGCAAGAGTATTTTGCTATTTCAGAACTCACATGCAAAAACTAAAGAAAACAATATCTAAATTATGACTATTAGTGAACTATTAGCAAATTTTATGTCTTATAAACTACATTGAAACAGAGTAAAATTACTCATAGAAAATGTTTTGCAAACAGAAGAGCTCCACGCGTTGTGTCTAATGGTCAGATCAACACAAGGTTCAAATTCCTGATTTGGAGGTGATTATGTAGCATGATTGTTTATGGGTTTTGGGCTGAGATAAAAAGACTGGTGCATTTCCCCACAAGGGAATGCATAGAATCACAGAATAGTTCAGGTTGGAAGGGACCTTTAAAGGCCACCTAGTCCAACCCCCCTGCAATGAGCAGGGACAGCTTCAACTCAATCAGGCTGCTCAGAGCCCCGTCCAACCTGACCTAGAACGTTTGCAGGGATGGGGCATTTGCCACCTCTCTGGGCAACCTGGGCCAGTGTTTCACTACCTTCACTGTGAAAAATTTATTCCTTACATCTAGTCTAAATCTGCCTTCTTTTAGTTTAAAACCATTACCCCTTGTCCTATTGCAACAGGCTCTACTAAAAAGTCTGTCCCCATCTTTCTTATAGGCCCCCTTTACTTACTGGCAGGCTGCAATAAGCTCTCCTTGGAACCTTCTCTTCTCCAGGCTGAACAATCCCAACTCTCTCAACCTTTCTTCATAGGAAAGGTGACATTTAAACAGCAAATAAGAGAGGCCACAGCCTGTGTGTCACCTACCTGCTTGTCAGCCAATGCCCTATCGTCACATTTGCTCATTGAGAAAATTGCTCTTTACCACCGAAGCCACTTCACCCCTTATCTATGCTCTTCTCCATTTTGTTGCGTCCTCTCCCACAAATCCAGATTTCTCTGCATTTTCTATTACCCTGCAACTTTACCCAACTTTCTCTCCTACAACTACTGGCAAGGAAATAGTTCATGTTGATTACTGAGTTTATTTGACATCCACATTAACTGGTATCTGTAGAATATCATGTCAGGCTGACACTCAAGTAGTTACTATGACTGCTCTCTTTTGGAAGATGCCTTCAACAGCCACAACAGCAGAAGCCTTAAGAAAGCTCCACGTATCTGGAAGGCTAATTCATAGTTCATGAAGGTTAATTCATAGTGGAACATGTGTATCCTGCTTCCATGACTTACTTCAGAAGTAAGGGCTATACCTTTCAATTGAAGATGAAATGAGCTTTCACTTGCTTATTTTTTGAATTCAGAAGACAAATTATCTCACCCCTCATGGCAAGCCAGAGACATGAGTAAGATTCTCTGGCAGCAAGAACATCAAGTTATACAGAACACAAAAATCAGTGTTAGTGCATGATTTTTCTTTACACACAGCAGATGCCAACCAGAAGAAAATACAAAGTCTACTGCTTTATCCCATGGTGGGGTAAAGGTTTACCATGCTGCTGTTTACCTGACATTTGTAGATTCTGTCTGTATCCACTTAAATTTAATTGGGTTAGTTTTGAAGTTACATGATTGACTGCTTTTTTGACATGGGTGGCTGTGAAGTCACACCAGGACAAGTTCAGCTCCTCCAACCTACACACAAATGAACAAAGAGTTGTTTGGAAGAATGACTGAAATACAACAAGTTCTGATATTATCTATTACAGTTGATACTTTTAAGGCAAAAACTTGTAAGACACCTACTACCAACTTCTTGTATTTATGACTACAAAGTTTGCTATGACAATATTAAGCACTGAAGCAGATTATCCAGCGAGGCTTTAAAGATCCAACCACAGAGAGTCCTCATCAACCTACCCAGTGCTGAATTTTAACCCCTTGCCCAGAGCAGGGTCTAAGTGACTTCCCCAGGGCCACTTCCAACTGGAATGATTCAATACTATCTTAGGAAGTGAAATGATTCTCTCTGGGGACTGCCATGGGAAGGCACTGTCTTTTCATCTTGCTTCTGATTTTGTGATCTCAACCTGTTACTACTGAACAGATGTCCACATTGAGAGGAAAAGGCTATCCATTATTAGTATTGGTCAGATGACCAATTAATCCTAATTAGCATAGAATACTCCATAGTTTTACATAAGCATTGGCCACGCTCTGACCTTAACTTTCTTTACATGCTTTATTACCTGCTTTAAATCACCATTCAGGGCTGGGATAGAGTATTTGTTCTGTGTGCAGGTGTTACAGATATAATCAGAGACACAGTAAGCAGCACAACTAGAGGATTTAGCTGACAATCTGTATGTAAATGAAAACAACAGTTAAATTGCCACTAGCATGCCTAGGCTCAGGTTTGCCATCTGCTATTCACTGTACACTGTACAGACTGCATGCTCTAAAGAGCTCATGATCCAAGTAATCAGACCAAGCAATAGAAAACATTATCTACCCATGAAAGGCAAAAAAGATTAAGGCTTTGTCTGTCCACTAACTTGCTGTTTGATTAAAAACATACTTTTGCAGAACCAAAAATTAAGTAGATTGTCCAGCATCTCACAGGAAGTCAACAGAAAGATGAGGATATAAACCCCAGACTGACTGGGGCTCAGTTCAGTGGCTTCCTGCCAGCAGATGGTTTAATCACTGGAATTGTCAATCTCTCAGTGCTTCATAAAGTAGAAGCTTACTGAAGGATTATTCTACCATTAAAGGCACAATGTTTTCTGCCATTCACGCTGTACTCTGATTGCAAAGGGAGCTCTGGGACTCCACTTTTCAGTTTCAAAACACAGTTTCACTTTGTGAGGCACACAACTGCTTTCATTAACAAAAATCAAATTTACATGATAATCAAAGGAACATAAATTGGGTTTACCCACCAGCAAGGCTTCCTTTAAGTATGATTAAGGAAACCTATGAAAAACTACTGAAGTACATCTTTGCCATTAAAGAAGAAAATAGCTTGATGGAAAGAAACTGACTATTCAGCTAATAATCAACTGTTAGTCATTTAGGAACAAAACAGACTCATAAAAAAAATTAGAGACAAGTGCAATTGGCATGTCTATGGAAAAAATATAAAAAAAATCCTTTTTCTCAGGAAGAGCAGTAAGCAGGAATAGCAAATACTTTTTTTGTCTTACATAGAACAGCTTCTCAACATCAGCTCCAAGGCTTCTGCAGAAAACCCTGAGCATCCACAGAGATTTAGTCGCCTCAAACTGGTATTCTTAGCAATGCTCCTGTAGAGAAGAGAAAAAAGTCCAATAAAATTTAAATATTGGAACATTACTTGCATTGCTAGGATGTGTGATTATTTTTAAGAGCCAAGATTCCAGGCACAGAATTGTGTTGAACATGTGGCACTGCATCTTTACTAAACTGACCAACCTAAGAGTCATTAAGGATCTCAACTCCGTATTTGCTGCATCATGGCACAATTTCAGTAGGGATACTTGCCTATTTATGCAGGCTTGTCAGGAAAGCCAGATA